TTTTGGGTCATTGTCCTGTTGAAAAACAAATGGATAGTCCCACTAAGCGCAAACAAGATGGGATGGCATATCGCTGCAGAATGCTGTGGTAGCCATGCTGGTTAAGTGTGCCTTGAATTCTAAATAAATCACTGTCAGTGTCACCAGCAAAGCACCCCCACACCATCACACCTCCTCCTCCATGCTTCACGGTGGGACTCACACATGCGGAGATCATCCGTTCACCTACTCTGCGTCTCATAAAGACACAGCGTTTGGTCAAAAATCTCACATTTGGACTCATCAGACCAAAGGACAGATTTCCACCGGTCTAATGTCCATTGCTCGTGTTTCTTGCACAAGCAAGTCTCTTTTTCTTATTGGTGTCCTTTAGAAGTGGTTTCTTTGCAGCAATTCGACCATGAAGGCCTGATTCACACAGTCTGCTCTGAACAGCTGATGTTGAGATGTGTCTGTTACTTGAACTCTGTGAAGCATTTATTTGGTAACTCTAATGAATTTATCCTCTGCAGCAGAGGTAACACTGGGTCTTCCTTTCCTGTGACGGTCCTCATGAGAGCCAGTTTCATCATTGCACTTGATGGTTTTTTCGACTGCACTTGAAGAAACTTCCAATGTTCTTGAAATGTTCCAATTTGACTGACCTTCATGTCTTCAAGTAATGATGGACTGTCGTTTCTCTTTGCTTATTTGAGCTGTTCTTGCCATAATATGGACTTGGTCTTTTACCAAATAGGGCTACCTTCTGTATACCCCTTCTACCTTGTCACAACACAACTGATTGGCTCAAACGCATTAAGAACGAAAGGAATTCCACAAATTAACTTTTAACAAGGCACACCTGTTAATTGAAATGCATTCCAGGTGACTACCTCATGAAGCTGGTTGAGAGAATGCCAAGAGTGTGCAAAGCTGTCATCAAGGCAAAGGGTGGCTACTTTGAAGAATCTCAAATATAAAATATATTTTGATTTGTTTAACACTTTTTGGGTTACTACATGATTCCATAGGTGTTATTTCATTGTTTTGATGTCTTCATTATTATTCTACAATGTAGAAAATAGTTTTGAAATAAAGAAAAACCCTGGAATTGTAGGTGTGTCCAAACATTTGACTGGTATGTGTACATTTATTTTGCAATGCTCACGCGATGCGGGCGGTGTGGTCAGCATATACAGGGAGGGAAAAAAGTATTTGATCCCCTGCTGATTTTGTATGTCTGCCCACTGACAAAGAAATTATCAGTCTATCATTTTAATGGTAGGTTTATTTGAACAGTGAGAGACAGAATAACAACAAAAAAATCCAGAAAACAAAAATGTTATAAATTGATTTGCATTTTAATGAGGGAAATAAGTATTTGACCCCCTCTCAATCAGAAAGATTTCTGGCTCCCAGGTGTCTTTTATACAGGTAATGAGCTGATATTAGGAGCACACTCTTAAAGGGAGTGCTCCTAATCTCAGTTTGTTATCTGTATAAAATACACCTGTCCACAGAAGCAATCAATCAATCAGATTCCAAACTCTCCACCATGGCCAAGACCAAAGAGCTCTCCAAGGATGTCAGGGACAAGATTGTAGACCTACACAAGGCTGGAATGGGCTACAAGACCATCGCCAAACAGCTTGGTGAGAAGGTGACAACAGTTGGTGCGATTATTCGCAAATGGAAGAAACACAAAATAACTGTCAGTCTCCCCCCTGCCTGGGGCTCCATGCAAGATCTCACCTCGTGGAGTTGCAATGATCATGAGAACGGTGAGGAATCAGCACAGAACTACACGGGAGGATCTCGTCAATGATCTCAAGGCAGCTGGGACCATAGTCACCAAGAAAACAATTGGTAACACACTACGCCGTGAAGGACTGAAATCCTGCAGTGCCCGCAAGGTCCCCCTGCTCAAGAAAGCACATATACAGGCCCGTCTGAAGTTTGCCAATGAACATCTGAATGATTCATAGGAGAACTGGGTGAAAGTGTTGTGGTCAGATGAGACCAAAATGGAGCTCTTTGGCATCAACTCAACTCACCGTGTTTGGAGGAGGAGGAATGCTGCCTATGACCCCAAGAACACCATCCCCACCGTCAAACATGGAGGTGGAAACATCATGCTTTGGGGGTGTTTTTCTGCTAAGGGGACAGGACAACTTCACCGCATCAAAGGGACGATGGACGGGCCATGTACCGTCAAATCTTGGGTCAGAACCTCCTTCCCTCAGCCAGGGCATTGAAAATGGATCGTGGATGGGTATTCCAGCATGACAATGACCCAAAACACACGGCCAAGGCAACAAAGGAGTGGCTCAAGAAGAAGCACATTAAGGTCCTGGAGTGGCCTAGCCAGTCTCCAGACCTTAATCACATAGAAAATCTGTGGAGGGAGCTGAAGTTGAGTTGCCAAACGTCAGCCTCGAAACCTTAATGACTTGGAGAAGATCTGCAAAGAGGAGTGGGACAAAATCCCTCCTGAGATGTGTGCAAGAACTACAAGAAACGTCTGACCTCTGTGATTGCCAACAAGGGTTTTGCCACCAAGTACTAAGTCTTGTTTTGCAGAGGGGTCAAATACTTAGTGGGGGAAAAAAGTATTTAGTCAGCCACCAATTGTGCAAGTTCTCCCACTTAAAAACATGAGAGAGGCCTGTAATTTTCATCATAGGTACACGTCAACTATGACAGACAAATTGAGGAGAAAAAATCCAGAAAATCACATTGTAGGATTTTTAATGAATTTATTTGCAAATTATGGTGGAAAATAAGTATTTGGTCACCTACAAATAAGCAAGATGTCTGGCTCTCACAGACCTGTAACTTATTCTTTAAGAGGCTCCTCTGTCCTCCACTCGTTACCTGTATTAATGGCACCTGTTTGAACTTGTTATCAGTATAAAAGACACCTGTCCACAATCTCAAACAGTCACACTCCAAACTCCACTATGGCCAAGACCAAAGAGCTGTGAAAGGACACCAGAAACAAAATTGTAGACCTGCACCAGGCTCGGAAGACTGAATCTGCAATAGGTAAGCAGCTTGGTTTGAAGAAATCAACTGTGGGAGCAATTATTAGGAAATGGAAGACATACAAGACCACTGATAATCTCCCTCGATCTGGGGCTCCACGCAAGATCTCACCCCGTGGGGTCAAAATGACCACAAGAACGGTGAGCAAAAATCCCAGAACCACACAGGGGGACCTAGTGAATGACCTGCAGAGAGCTGGGACCAAAGTAACAAAGCCTACCATCAGTATCACACTACGCCGCCAGGGACTCAAATCCTGCAGTGCCAGACGTCTACCCCTGCTTAAGCCAGTACATGTCCAGGCCCGTCTGAAGTTTGCTAGAGTGCATTTGGATGATCCAGAAGAGGATTGGGAGAATGTCCTATGGTCAGATGAAACCAAAATATAACTTTTTGGTAAAAACTCAACTCGTCGTGTTTGGAGGACAAAGAATGCTGAGTTGCATCCAAAGAACACCATACCTACTGTGAAGCATGGGGGTGGAAACATCATGCTTTGGGGCTGTTTTTCTGCAAAGGGACCAGGACGACTGATCCGTGTAAAGGAAAGAATGAATGGGGCCATGTATTGTGAGATTTTGAGTGAAAACCTCCTTCCATCAGCAAGGGCATTGAAGATGAAACGTGGCTGGGTCTTTCAGCATGACAATGATCCCAAACACACCGCCCGGGCAACGAAGGAGTGGCTTCGTAAGAAGCATTTCAAGGTCCTGGAGTGGCCTAGCCAGTCTCCAGATCTCAACCCCATAGAAAATCTATGGAGGGAGTTGAAAGTCTGTGTTACCCAGCGACAGCCCCAAAACATCACTGCTCTAGAGGAGATCTGCATGGAGGAATGGGCCAAAATACCAACAACAGTGTGTGAAAACCTTGTGAAGTCTTACAGAAAACGTTTGACCTGTGTCATTGCCAACAAAGGGTATATAACAAAGTATTGAGAAACGTTTGTTATTGACCAAATACTTATTTTCCACCATAATTTGCAAATAAATTCATTAAAAATCCTACAATGTGATTTTCTGGAGAAAAAAAAAATTCTCAGTTTGTCTGTCATAGTTGACGTGTACCTATGATGAAAATTACAGGCCTCTCTCATCTTTTTAAGTGGGAGAACTTGCACAATTGGTGGCTGACTAAATACTTTTTTCCCCCACTGTATTTCCCTCATTAAAATGCAAATCAATTTATAACATTTTTTACATGCGTTTTTCTGGATTATTTTGTTGTTATTCTGTCTCTCACTGTTCAAATAAACCTACCATTAAAATTATAGACTGATCATTTCTTTGTCAGTGGGCAAATTTACAAAATCAGCAGGGGATCAAATACTTTTTTTCCCCTCACTGTAAGTCTATCCTTCATTCATCAGTCTTCACAATGGTTCTCAAGATGACCTACTTCATTCACAGATTCCCTTCCGTAGTATAATGAGCTAGAATCCTGTAGCCCAACTTTTGATGAGTTAATTAAAAAAGGCCCACTCTGTGATTTGATGATATAATCCCTCCAACGCCAGAGCGACTCAGATCAAGTCATGACTCATAGCGTTCATGGTGTGAAATGAGACGTGTAGCAGGAAATACCACAAACCGCTCAGAAGATATAAATCAACTCGGAGTTCAATGGTGTTTCTTGGAGTGTGAAGCATTCGAGGTAGGGCTTGTTAGCTTAAGTTGCTGACTAACACGTCTATACTATTGTCCTTATAAATCTGTTTTAAGCAATAAGACAGCTTGTTTGACTCATCCACCGACTTTTAATTAATCTATTGATGCCAAATTAATTTTTATAGTTATATAACCTGAATGTTGGTGGGATGAGCTGAGGACACATCGTTTTCTGATGAATAACATATGACCTGGGTTCATGAAACATTACGAAAACGAAACAAGACATTAATTAAAAAGACTTTGAACTCCAAACTGATCTGTGATTGAACATCATCCAAAATGAGAAGGCCACTGCCACAACTCACCAATGAAAGAAATGGCCTCTGGGAAAAACTGGGAGAGGTTTTGGCTCCAGTGATCGGAAATGGGGATCTGTTTGTACTTGAAGTCTCCGTCATGTTCAAACATGTTGGGCAGGTTGGGTGTGACGTTGAGGATGTACTTGATGTTGTACTTCCCCAGGACGTCCAGGTTGGCTGAGTCTTTGGCACAGCCCAGGTAGAGGTAGGGTAAGATCTGGACCGGGAAGGCAGGCTGGTTGTTGGGGAGAGGGCTGCCCTCGGACTCGGTGGCGCTGCCCGGTTCCCTGTCCGATGACTCCCCATCAGAACAGTCCGAGCTGATCCTCAGCCCACCCAGACCCAGGACGGAGGCAGGCGGGGAGCTGCTGGGGCAGGAACAATCCAGGTTGGTCTCACAGTGCTCAGGGTACTCCGTCTGGAACTTGTTGAAACCACCTGAAAACAACAAATGGAGCCGAATTAGAATAGAATCAAATAGAATAGAATCAAATAAAAACAGAAGAGAAGAGAACTGCTGGAAAGAACAGGAATACAGAGATGGGTCAGAATCACAATATGATTGAGGTTGTGTGACAAGTTGTCATTCCAGCTATTCAGTAAAGCACAATACAGAGACATTCAAATAGAATATAGCTTTATTGTCCAATGTGTAAATTGGAATATCGTCTCTGTGGGTGATGAAACCCCACCTCTTTAACGAATACCTGGAATAGTAAAAAAGTCATCCTTCTAACCCCCCCCCCCCCCCCTAATGCCAATGTTTGTCTATGGAGATTGCATGGCTGTGTGCTGGATTTTATAGACCTGTCAGCAACGGGTGTGGCTCATCATAATGCTTTAAGTTAGGCCTGCATCCCAAATGGGAAACGAGGCCCTGTTCATTCATGAAATGAAAGTATTTTTCCTGAAGGAGCATTGGACAACATGGCAGAACCATTTTAGAACATTCATTGAAAACATATTTGGTTCGTTCCACATTCTTTCAAAACCGTTAATTCATATAACATGTTTACTCGAATAGATTAGTCTAACAGTCGAAAGTGGGGTTGAAACATTGTGAGTCTTCCTACTGTCAGGGAGTAAGAAATAAGCCACTATTAGACAACAGAAGAAGAATTGATCATTTTCACAACTACCTACAGATTGAGTCCAATGAAGGGAAATTAAAATCGAAAAAATATATAATTGGTTTAACTTGAAGCACATGAGAAAATAAAGAGCTTTATTTTTTATATAATGTTTTAATACTGTATATTATGGCATAGGAACAAAACCGTGACTGCCCTCGATTGACTTTTCATTCAGACAACAATTATTTTACATTTACATTTTACATTTTAGTCATTTAGCAGACGCTCTTATCCAGAGCGACTTACAACTTTAATATGACACAGACTACAATGGAAAATAATAGTGTAACTTGTAGAAAGGGAAACAAATGGATACATAGTATCATACTGCTGCCTTGATTTAGCTACATTGTAACTTTGGGCTGTAATCCAGTGGCAACTATTGTTATTTAGGAATGGCTGCAACATGGTCTCACGGCATTTCAAATGATTCTGTATATAAATCCGTGACACTCCGTTTAGTACGATATGTTATGTTTGTGAGGTATGTATTAATTTGTGGATGTCCATCATCCAATCCCTATGATATGTTACCAATTACAATTAATATGATACAGTATGCTACAAATTGCAATTCGTACAATATGTTACGAATTTGCCAAACGTATGATATGTTGCGAATTCCAATGTATTGTTGCTAACGTTAGCTTGGTTAGAGTTTGGGTTAGGAGTTAGGTTAAAGGCTTACGGTTAGGGTTAACTAAAAGGGTTAGGGTTAGAGTTAGGTGAAAGGTTAGCTAACATGCTAAGAAGTTGCAAAGTTGCTAAGAAGTAGTAAGAAGTTGCAAAGTTCCTAAAATTGTATGTGATGAGATTCGAACACACTACCTTCGGGTTGCTAGACGTTCGTGTTATACGCCCGACCAACCACCCTCCTTTCATAAGTAACCTTCTGTCTTATGTAACCAGACCAAAACATAACATATCATGCTAATTTCAGTGTCCCGGATTTATATTTATTATGTTACGTGTAGTCTATGAGATCAGGCTGAGGAACAGAATAGAGTTTGGGCTATAGTGGATTCGTAGGCTAACAGGTAGTCTAGAACAGAATAGAATATACACTCCTAGAAAAAAAAAAAAAAAGGGTTATTTGGCTGTTCCCATAGGAGAACCCTTTTAGGTTCCATGTAGAACCCTTTTAGGTTCCATGTAGAACCCTCTTTGGAAAGGGTTCAACATGTAACCCAAAAGGGTTTTATCTGGAACCAAAATGATTATCTAAAGGGTTATCCTATGGGATAGCCGAAAAATTATTTTAGGTTCTAGATTGCACCTTTTTTTTCCCCAAGAGTGTAGAATAGAATAAGGAAATATCACAAATGAAAAGATCAAAGAAGCTAACTCTCACCTTCCAGGTAAAAAGCCTTGCAACCGTCATCCCGGAGCTTCTGCAGCAGCAAGCCGAGGACAGAGCTCACCAGCCCGGTCTCCTGCCAGTCCGTAGTGGCCTCGTCGTAGAGAAGGACCGTGTCTGTCTTGCACCGCTTCACGAATTTCTCCTTATCCTCGTTGTTGGGGATGATGGACCGGATCGGTAGATTCCCCTTCTTTAGTCTCCGCAGCATCAAACCGGGGATCGCCAGATTGATTGCCGACTCGATGTGTGATGATTCGTAGAGCTCGTGCGATCGGCAGTCCAGCAGCAGGAGCGAGCTCACCCCGAGCCCGGACTCAAGTTCCTCTTGAAGCCATTCCACACTTTTACTCGACATCATCTCTGTCACGTCCCGGGAACCCTTCCAAAGAGTAATTTTCATTAGGGAAATATGGAGGCGGCTCTTTGCACAAACATAGGGGTAAAATAAAATCACGGCGCTGAACTTCTACAGGTGTGGATAGGGACAGAACCGCGTCCCGTCCGCTCTAATCACGGTCGTCCACGACACCGCCAGGGCTGGTAGACGGGTCCACGACACCGCCAGGGCTGGTAGACGGGAGAACCGCGTCCCGTCCGCTCTAATCACGGTCGTCCACGACACCGCCAGGGCTGGTAGACGGGTCCACGACACCGCCAGGGCTGGTAGACGGGATGAACACACCACCAGGCTTGAACACATTAACGATATTTTCTCTCAGTCCGTAGAAATTACGCTGGACTCATTCAATACCGTCGACGACGTCCATTTGATACTGCGGTCTTTTAGCGGCCCATTACTGAAAAGGACCTATAGGCTGAGTATTGCCTGGTTTTATAAATCGGATCAAAATGTGGCTTCCAGATGAATCATAGCTACGGCACATTATTTTTGGACGTTTGCCGTTCGACCGCCTCCCGTGTATCATTTCCAGTAACCGCTGTGAATGGCAGACGGAGCTGAGAGGGGTACGCAGACAGGAGGTATGTCACTGGAGGAGGAGGAGTTGGGGAACAGTTAAAGACGCAGCGCACAGCGGAGAGGAGTGGAAAGAGATTCGGACATCATGTTCCCTCTATGTCTCTCGCCACTTGAATAGCACACAAAATGACCAAAAAAAAAATATATGACTGATAATTAATTCGACCTGTTCGGATTCCGGGGCATTGTCTCTTGGGATCTCCATAATTTGCATAATTGCTTCAAGACACATTTTGGGCAACCTCTGGCACAGAGGCTATTATGCCATGCCAATTTACCATCAATGATGGGATAGGATAGCCATTGCACCATAACAATACAATTAGCTAAGACTGTCCCTTCTAAACATTCACATACATGCTTTTCAGATTGCAATAGGCCTATAATAGTGAGATTACAAACAAAGGACAATGGGCAGTGGACACAGACAACGCATTGACGCGGCTGGTTCCTCTTTAACAGATCTGCCCCTTTCTCTCTCTCTCCCCCTCCCGCCTCTCTCTCCCCCTCCCCCTCTCTCTCTCCCCCTCCCGCCTCTCTCTCACCCCCTCCCGACCTGAGAAGACCAGTCATTATGAATGGACCACCCCGATTGAAAAAAATCTAATGGTTCATAAAATCCTATGGTGAAATCTAACTGATATTAACTTGTTGTTGGCCACAACATCCTACTACATTCTGTTCAATTCTATTCTAAAACCATGTATTTACAAATAAGTTACATAATTGACAAGTACAGTGTTATGACTGTCCTACACATTTGGACAGCTAGCAGTTGTACAGCTGTAGGCTACATCCAGCGGTGGAGAGAGAAACTGAAGGTTTGTTTTCACACTCACAGCTGCAGGACAGAAGGCGTAGAGAGCCACTGGCAGTAAGACAATGCCTCTTTATCCCTCAGTCCCAATGACTTACAGTTACTCCAGACTCTGACAGCTAGCTCTTGTGTTTCCATCCCTCTCATCACAAACCCCCCATGAACAATACGTTACAGACCTACCCACTGAGCGCTAACGCTACTAGCTACTGTTAGCCTCTCAACAGTAAGTTACAGACCTACCCACTGAGCGCTAACGCTACTAGCCACTGTTAGCCTCTCAACCTTAAGTTACAGACCTGACCACTGAGCGCTAACGCTACTAGTTACTGTTAGCCTCTCAACAGTAAGTTACAGACCTACCCACTGAGCGCTAACGCTACTAGCTACTGTTAGCCTCTCAACAGTAAGTTACAGACCTACCCACTGAGCGCTAACGCTACTAGCTACTGTTAGCTTCTTAACAGTAAGTTACAGACCTACCCACTGAGCGCTAACGCTACTACATTTACATTTACATTTTAGTCATTTAGCAGACGCTCTTATCCAGAGCGACTTACAGTTAGTGAATACATGTTTTTTTTTATACTGGCCCCCTGTGGGAATCGAACCCACAACCCTGGCGTTGCAAACGCCATGCTCTATCAACTGAGCTACATCCCTGCCGGCCATTCCCTCCCCTACCCTGGACGACGCTGGGCCAATTGTGCGCCGCCCGTGAGTCTCCCGGTCGCGGCCGGCTGCGACAGAGCCTGGATTCGAACCAGGATCTAGTGGCACAGTTAGCACTGCGATGCAGTGCCTTAGACCACTAGCTTCTCAACAGTAAGTTACAGACCTACCCACTGAGCGCTAACGCTACTAGTTGCTGTTAGCTTCTCAACAGTAAGTTACAGACCTACCCACTGAGCGCTAACGCTACTAGTTACTGTTAGCTTCTCAACAGTAAGTTACATACCTACCCACTGAGCGCTCATGCTACTAGGCTAGCTACTGTACCACAGTGAGCTGTGACTGTTCGCCTCGCAACACTGGGCCCTGGTTAAATGTACACACCAAGAAGAATTGTACAGAATCTTGTTCAATTACCGATGAGTTGTTGGGAAATGATTTGAATCTGTTTGTCCTGTCATAGGGCAAGGAGTTTGTCCTTTAATAGGGCCAGGAGTTTGTCCTGACCATGTGATCGGACCAGGAAAAAAATAAAACAGGTCCTAGTTATACTCTAGAAGGGCCCAGAGTTTAAACCTCCAGGTCCTAGTTCTACACTAGAAGGGCCCAGAGTTTAAACCTCCAGGTCCTAGTTATACACTAGAAGGGCCCAGAGTTTAAACCTCCAGGTCCTAGTTATACACCAGAGGGCCCAGTTGAAGAAGGATTACTTTATACTATTCCAGGTATTCCTTAAAGAGGTAGGGTTTGAAGTGTCTCCGGAAGGTGGTCAATGACTCCGCTGTCCTGGCGTCGTGAGGGAGCTTGTTCCACCATTGGGGTGCCAGAGCAGCAAATAGCTTTGACTGGGCTGAGCGGGAACTGTGCTTCTGTAGAGGTAGGGGGGCTAGCAGGCCAGAGGTGGATGAACGTAGTGCCCTCGTTTGAGTGTAGGGTCTGATCAGAGCCTGAAGGTAAGGAGGTGCCGTTCCCCTCACAGCTCCGTAGCCAAGCACCATGGTCTTGTAGTAGATGCGAGCCTCAACTGGAAGCCAGTGGAGTGTGTGGAGGAGCGGGGTGACATGAGAGAACTTGGGAAGGTTGAACACCAGACGGGCTGCAGCGTTCTGGATGAGTTGTAAGGGGTTTAATGGCACAGGCAGGGAGCCCAGCCAAACAGCGAGTTGCAGTAATCCGGACGGGAGATGACAAGTGCCTGGATTAGGACCTGTGCCGCTTTCTGTGTAAGGCAGGGTCGTACTCTGCGAATGTTGTAGAGCATGAATCTGCAGGATCGGGTCACCGCTTTGATGTTAGCGGAGAACGACAGGGTGTTTTCCAGGGTCATGCCAAGGTTCTTTGCACTCTGGGAGGAGGACACAATGGAGTTGTCAACCGTGATGGCGAGATCATGGAGCGGGCAGTCCTTTCCCCGGGAGGAAGAGCAGCTCCGTCTTGCCAAGGTTCAGCTTGAGGTGGTGATCCGACATCCACACTGATATGTCTGCCAGACATGCAGAGATGCGATTTGCCACCTGGTTATCAGACCTGACCAGACTCCATTAGTTCTACTGTCAGTATTTGTCCAGACACAGTAGAGTTGATGAACATAAGCTATATATACAAAAGTATGTGGACACCCCTTCAAATTAGTGGATTTGGCTATTTCAGCCACACCCGTTGCTGACAGGTGTATAAAATCGAGCACACAGCCATGCAATCTCCATAGACAGACATTGGCAGTAGAATGGCCTTACTGAAGAGCTCAGTGACATTCAACGTGGCACCGTCATAGGATGCCACCTTTCCAACAAGTCAGTTCGTCAAATTTCTGTCCTGCTAGAGCTGCCCCGGTCAACTGTAAGTGCTGTTATTGTGAAGTGGAAACGTCTAGGAGCAACAACGGCGTAGTGCGTAAAATCGTCTGTCCTCGGTTGCAACACTCACTACCGAGTTCCAAACTGCCTCTGGAAGCATCGTCAGCACAATAACTGTTCATCGGGAGCTTCATGAAATGTGTTTCCATGGCCGAGCAGCCGCACACAAGCCTAAGATCACCATGCACAATGCCAAGCGTCGGCTGGAGTGGTGTAAAGCTCGCTGCCATTGGACTCTGGAGCAGTGGAAACGCATTCCTGGAGTGATGAATCACGCTTCACCATCTGGCAGTCCGACGGATTAATCTGGGTTTGGTGGATGCCAGGAGAACGCTACCTGCCCCAATGCATAGTGCCAACTGTAAAGTTTGGTGGAGGAGGAATAATGGTCTGGGGCTGTTTTTCATGGTTCGGGCTAGGCCCCTTAGTTCCAGTGAAGGAAGTTCTTAACGCTACAGCATACAATGACATTCTAGACGATTCTGTGCTTCCAACTTTGTGGCAACAGTTTGGTGAAGGCCCTTTCCTGTTTCAGCATGACAATGCCCATGATTATGGAATGAGATGTTTGAAGAGCAAGTGTCCACATACTTTTGGACATGTAGTGTATAAACTATACTGCTACTGTAAATTACACAGATATACAACCATGACTTATGAACTGCTCCGACTGAAAACGATCTTCACAGATATACAACCATGACTTATGAACTGTACTCCAACAGAAAACCAAACACAGATCCCACAACCAGCCTATATAGTCCATGAGGCAGGCTGTCTGTAATCTGTGTAGGTGAGAGATAGAGCGGTAAAACCTACAGCACTCTGGGATGAAAAGTCCCGTGTAGCCCAGTTGGTAGAGCGTGGCGTTTGCAACGCCAGGGTTGTGGGTTCGTTTTCCCACGGGGGGGGGGCCAGTATGGAAAAAAAGATGTATGCGCTCACTAACTGTAAGTCGCTCTGGATAAGATCGTCTGCTAAATGACTGAAAAAAAAATAAACTATTTCTTAACTCAGCCAATTACATAAAGCCCTGTAGTCTGACAGTAGTTTCTAGGGCCCTGGTCAAAAGTAGT